TAGAACACGGCGTAAACGAGTTTGATTTGGGAGAAATTTGAAGCAAAATTCTTGTGCAAAATGATTTTCATTCAATTATAGATTGATATATGATTTTTTTTTTTTTTGATCAAAGATTGATATATGATGATATGGAAGAACTTTCTCACAAAAATAAGTTGATGTATGGAAAATAGAGCATACCGAAAAGCATCCGTGTTGAGCATAGCTTGATTCTAAGTCTCCTCCGTTCATGAAAAGTGCTCCCTTCACGTCCATTCTCTCACTCTCTCTCTAGCAATCGGGGATTGGTGATTATGATGTAGGGCTCAAAGTGCTAATTAAATTCTACCATGTGCTTATTGGACTTGGTGACATAGTTTAGCCGACCAACCAACTATTCGAGTTCGGTTCCGACTGGTCTTTCAACCACTATAAATAGACAAATGTTACGGAGACATAATTGAAGGACATAATTGGAGATATAATGAATTTTTACCAATGAAATAATAGTGAAATATATTTAATGATGGGTCTCATTGTAGTATTAATGAATTCATTATCATATTATTTGTGACAATTTATTATGTCTTCAAATTATATCCAAAAATTATATCCCAATAACATTACACCTATAAATAAAGGCCACGAATATTAAGCAATTCTACCACGTGCTTATTGGAAAATAGATCTATTTATTATACACTAATACTATTGAAATATAATTTATGGACATAATTTAAGGACATAATGAGTTGTGACTAATGAAATGATAATAAAATATATTTAATGATGGATCTTATTGTTGCATTAAATAAATTTATTATTTTTTATTTTATATTTATTTTAATCGCATTTTAATTTAAATATCAAAATTCCTTTGATCACCGTAACCATCCTCTCAATCCGTCATCTATATCTAATCTTCAATCTAAATCATATCTCCAATGCTGACCCACCAACCTCCATCCGTCAAGTAAATCTTATCTTCATGCAGGCAATCCACGTTTTGAACTTTAGTCTAAGCCCTCTGAATCCGTCAGGTAAATCTTATCTTCATGCAGGCAATCCACGTTTTGAACTTTAGTCTAAGCCCTCTGAATCCGTCAGGTAAATCTTATCTTCATGCACGCAATCCACGTTTTGCACTGTAGTCTAAGTGGTGGTTAGCTTTGCACCACATAAAGAGTGAAAAAGATTCCGAGCTAGTACGCACCATTCAATTATCAATCAAGAACCATTCAATTAACAACCAACAACCATTCAATTATCAATCAACAACCTTTCTTTGTCGATGGGAGCAATTTTGTCAAACCATCTAACTCATTTATAACACCATTATTTTGATGTTTTTTTGTCGACTTAAAACCTAAAACACCCAATAGACCCGTTCTAAGAACAAGTCAAATGGCCCGTCTGAAGAGTGCCAACCATATAATGGGACTGGGCCGTAGCACAGGATTGTAAAAACTCAGAATCGTCCAACTCAAGATATATATAAACTCGGTCCAAACAAGGTCAACAACATGTATTTGCTCAAGAATAAGAAACTCCGCACAAAATTAGCCGAAAGAAAACCCAGTCACGCCACATGGTCAAGGGATAGAGGGACAATGTCTGGCTCTAACGAACAAATATTCCCTAGTAAAAAAAATATCGCATACATTTCATTTCAAATATTATGGGCATGAAAAACGTTAAGCTAATAGACTTTGTTATAGGATAAATGCGGAGGGGACCACAAAATTAGTCAAAAAAATAAGAATTACAGAAACCCTTTACAGCCAGATATATAAATAGAAGACGAAGAGACTAAAAAAAAAGAGTTCCATAAGCTACCTAAGAAATATTTTGTATAAAGTTCCTAGCCAAGGCTACTATAACTGTTACCTCCTTCTTAAAATAATATAATCCTCAATGGGCAAGAGTGGACATAGTCGTAATTTTTTGGCTAAGGTGAACCACTCAAATTTTGGTCTTTGCTTCATCTCCAAACCATTACCTCACATTATCTCAAGCACACACCAAGCCCCACTAGGCTTAACCCCTTCGTCATTCTACGATTGAGTAAAGAGATTTTGAGCACCATCAAGAACAAAACTACAACATACCTAATTATTCGTAACTATTGAATTGACAGTAGACTCTCAATTAAGTCAACAAATTAAATCTAAATAATATTTTTGAATTTATTAACCTAATCCATCATAATTATAGGATTGATTGTTGATTCCAACAAATATTGATGTTCATCGACAATTCAATAAATATAAATGAATAAGTCTTATAAATCATATTCAAATAACATTATTCATATTAACACAAATGTTATTGGGATATAATTTGAGACTTAATGTGTTATAACCATCGAATTGATAGTAGAGTCCATTTAATATTGGTACCCGTAAACAATCCAGTGTCTACTATCCTTAATTCCCTAAATTATGTCCTAATAATATTGCTCAAATAACAATTGAGTTTGTTGTGAGCTTGATGAAACCCATTTTTTAATTCAACAATTATAATTGATTTATTTTTATCTCGAAGATTATAATTGATATGATTTTTAGATTAACTACAATAACATTTTCCCCAATGGCTAATAAAGTTGCTCTTAAATTGCTTCAAACCAATTAAACAAGCTTTATGTTTTGACTACTCAATTAATTTTGAATTTTATTATGTACTCAGATGAAGATTGAATCATATTACATAGAAAAATGTTATTTGTTTTTATTTGAGGACTTAATCAATTATAGTTGTGCGATTAAAAATTAACTTAATCTGACATTGAAGCTCAAAGCTAATTTAATAACTGTATTGAATTAAATATCTGAATTAGTTCCCCAAACATAAGCTAAAAAGTTTCATTATCAATACTCGTTGCGCCTTACAAATAAATCATTAGTATGCTTGTTAACGATAAGATTTTGATAAATTATTAATTCATTCAAATTTGATTTTAAAATTTGATCCGTATTCGCTCTTATTATTCAATGAACCTAAGTTTTAAAGTTCATATCGATTCCTTTAAAAAAAATATATTTTCATCTAAATAATTAAATTAGAGGTGAATTTTAAAACATTACATCTAATTTTAACACAATATCGTTAAATAATAACTCAATTTTAATTAATATATAATGTATATATGTGTAAATGTAATCAAATCAAATCACAATCAAATCCAAATTTTCTATATCCATATCTATAAAGACTTGCCTCTTATTTATTTTTGGCTAACTTTTTAATGGGGGCAAATCCTAAATAATTTTCATATGAAGCCCAAAATAGTTTAAAATTGGAGTTGGGGCAACCGCCCCCACTATCCCAATCTTAAATATATCAGTGTTTGACTTAAGTTTTTACTCAAATTTGAGTAAAAAGTTTGGTTTCATTCAAAATACTGCAATGGAGTATTCAATGTTAAAAGATGACAAACTCAAATTTAAAGGTTGATAAAATATGACCAATGAATTTTTAAAAGAGAATAAAATTTGAGTAAAGATTTAAGATTCTCTTGATTTGAGTACAAACAATTAAGTGTTCCTTCATTTAGTATGAATTTGAATAAAGGACTGTGAGTTGTTTCTACCTTGTTTTTACTCAAATTTATGAGTTTGGCTGAAGATTGAAAATGCCCTCAACAACTAAAAAAAAATTTTGGTGTTTTCGATGATATCTACCATCTCTTTTCAAGAGGAAAATGAATGGCCAAGTTGGTTTTTCAATTAAAATGTGGTCAATTTTAGTAAGTTATGCCCTTATATGAGAACCATGCTAATTTTTTTGGTCCGAGAGAAATTGTTGTAGTGTATTCGAGATTTTTTGCAATAGTTGGTTGTCATTCTCCATCCAAATTGTTTTGTGTTGGGTTAAATGCTATGAAGAAACCATGTAAAATCTCTCAGAATTTGATGGCTCGAGAGGGCCTTTGTTTAATTTTTCTTTGGAATTATGGGAATGCCAGTTCACTTAGAGTAAAAAGATTTCTCTTGTGTAACACACACTGTAAGATTAAGAAGGAAAATTATTGAAAACCAAAAAAAATGGAACGTTGTTTCGCTCTTTTTTGATGTGCTACCCCCCTATGTTCCCTTTAGTTGCCTTGTAGTTTTCTCGGGAACGGGGATCAAAATTCAGTAATGTTATAGGCAGTATTTGATACACGAGGAGTGTGGAATGCATGGTTATCAAAATTTTGATTTGGATTTTAACATCTTATATGATGGGTTATAAATAAATTGATCTGGGTCAACATGGGAATGTAGGATTCCGATCTAAATTGTGATCTTACTAATTCAAGTTGTTAGGTTTGCTTCTTAGGTGCATTTAGTTGTTGAGCAACCTAATTCATGTTTTTCGTTTACAAAAGAGTCTTTTTATTCATTCGTCTCTCTTTGAAAAGTTTAAAGCAATAGTTAGATTTAATTTTCTCTCTCGGCGAGTGATCATAGCCAAATAGTCTGATATTTTTATTATGTTTTGCTTTTTTTGTTTGGATGTCGTATACTCAATATTATTATTCAATAACGTTTCAACTTTTTAGTCTCTCTCTCTGTTTGAAACTTAAAATCAAAAGACTTCAATCCTCATATTTCTCTTTGCAAAAATCAACATGATTAACAACAATTCACCTTTGATTTTAAACCTTCTTTACAATTCAAGTTTTAGTTTATCAAATTTCAATCATATTTTAAGTTCTATCTTTAGACCATTCCAAAAAAAAAATTATGTTTGTCATAGCATTTCTATTAGTATATATACTAGGTTTATCTAGTTTTTGGGAATTTTATATTGCTACATATATTTTTTATCTCATTTTTTTAATTAATAGGATTTTATAATTCGTTATTCGGTTTTATAACTTCCTCGATCGATCCAATATAATTTTTCAATTTTAAAAACGTCGATAAAATGTAACTGTGACTAATAGGTGTGATTACTTACTGGATACAAACAGAGAGACAAAGTGAATCCGTTTTGGAATCACATAATCTATAAGCATACTCTTTGTTTGGATGGCAACTGATTATGACAATGAATCCATGATATTCAATGTATTGATAGCCTCACTCTCACAGGCGGGGATGGTTTGCCTCAGAAAAGACTAGCTAAACCTCTCTGCATAATCCTTTTTCCCTCATTTTATAATGGCAACTTGAAATACAAAAAGTAACCCCAGATGCAATGTTCCATTTTGTGCATGTGGGTCCATAATTTAAGGTTTTTTTTAAATATAAAAATAAAAATCAACAATTGATTACGTTATTTCTTAAAAAAAGTTTAAAAAAAAATAGATTAGATATATGCAATTCAGTGCATGAGTATTTATACTTTTGCGAGTTTTGAATTGGATTAGATTTATGCAGTTTTGTATACAACTAGATTGTTTGTATGACTCGAACTCCTAACTTTTAAGTTCAAATGAAATGAAATAAAATTATTGTTATGCTAGGAATCTCTCTCAATGAACAATTTATTAATGAGTTAGACAAAAATCCATTTTTCTCCATAAATTGTGCAACTTCACATGTGGGATAATTGAGGATTAGGAGTTGGCTTAATGGCCACCGCAACTTCTTCAGGTTAGATCATGAGGGATGGAAAGATCAACGAAAAAAAAAAACTTTTTATACCATGTCATGTTTTGCTGCTAAGGAGGTTTGAAGGGGAGACCTCATTAAAGAGTTTTGGATTGTTTCCCTTGTTTTTCTTGTTTTATATTTTGGCTTGAGAACTCAGAGAACTTCAATTTCCACTTTTTTTTTTATTTTTTCTGTTTGAAAATTTTTGTCCAAATAGCATCTTAAGAGTTTTACTATTTTTGAAAATAGAAAACTGTTTTGGAGAACAAACCATGCAAATCAGTATTGTATTGATCATTGTAGCTCTAACTCTAGCTTGATAAATTTCATTGTGTTTGATTTTTTTTTCTCCCCGAATCGATCTTCAAGTTCTGAGTTAGGCAAACGAGATATCAAAGTATTCCATGTGGAACATCACGGTGTTTCTATCGGATGTTTGGAAGCTAAATTTCACCCATATCGCGGCCATTGTGAGTGCCATGACAAGCTCAGTACATGTTATGTTAGTCGCCATGACGTTCCTTGTGGAGACTTTTGTTGGTGACTATTGGATGCTCTCTATTTCAAGCCTTTCATCAAGCGTAGAAAGTTTTCTCTCTATTCCCTCTTCTATACCTTTATTATATTTCATCTCTTCAACAAATTTACCAATGAGCATAATGGCTTTATTGTTCTGATGGAGAGAAAAACCGATGATTAGCTTTTCAAGAAATTTTCGAACAAACAATTTCAACAAAATCTTTCAATTTCTTATTTTATTATGTTCAACTCTATGTATTTCTTGATCAATTTCTGTCCTACAACATTTCAATTTTGATATTTCAACATTTCAAGTTTGTCTCCTTTTTTTAAGCGATTTAGAATCGAGCAAGTAGTCAAATGTAACAGAATGTCTAGGAATTTATATTTCCGAATTTAGAATATATTGGTGTTAGTATATTCCTTTTTTATTAGAATATTGATTGAAAATGGATCATTACTCCGACCCATAATACGGTTAATTCCGCATGGGCTACATGAACTCCTAGTAGTTTATCGGATAAATTAATAAGTCGGGCATTCCTAACCCACCAAGTGAAACCAGTGGTTTCTTGGTCACAACCAGCTAAAGTAGAAACTCCTCAGGAGTTACTTGGGATCTATAGAATTTTAAAACTACGGAACCAACTAGTTTCACACCAGGAGAACAGCATCCAAAGCAACGACCCTAACTGTTTGGAAGATATCTTAAGAAAATGTTTTAGCACCGGTGTATATATGTGCAAGGGTGGAGCATGTTGGCAATTTCAACATCTTCAATCTTTTTTAGCATGCCAACGATTTCATGTGCAAGCAGTTCTTGTCTTGGAGATTTGCAGTGGTGCCTATTTTACACATCGATACCTCTAATCGATGTTGGAGTTGCTGGTCGATTAACCTCCTTAGACGCATTCTTGCTTCAACAAATACCATTTATTAGATCTCCAGAGGATCAACAACAACTGATCAACCAGATGCCTCAAATAATGTTTGGCGGTACCATGACTTGTTTGTTCATGTTGGTTACAACGTTGTTCTTCCCTTTATACAACCATGGGGGGCTCATTTTGGGATTCCAACAATTTGCTTTGTGGTTGCTACTCTTCAGTTTTTCTTGAGATCATCTCCGTACATTCGTGTCAAACCATCTGGAAGTCGAACCACAAGCTTGTTTAGAGTTATTGTGGCGACCTCTATAAAGATTCAGCTTTCGTGCCCAAAGGATTCTAGGGAGCTGTACGAGAAGTACGACCTTGGAAACGATCAGGAGCTGCTACCTCACACAAACTGTCTCAGGTGATGATCTTTGTCCTTGTTAAATTATCATCTATTCTAAAAGCTTAAACCGTTAAAAAAACATGTAACATAAATGTTTATATAATATTCCTTTCCTCAATTGCATGACTGATGACTGGTGAGGTTGTGGACACAATTTGGCTTGCTGGGGTTGAGGAGCGCATATAACGATATGTCACTTAGCACATTGTGAATTTCACATTCAACATCTTGAATTCTTTCTCTTAACACGTCCTTAATCTAGCAGGTTTCTAGACAAAGCAGCCATCCTAACCAGATCACAAACTATTGAGAAACAAGATAACCATAAATGGAGGTTTTACAGGATCACTGAAGTGGAAGAAACTAAAATATTCTTCACAATGATTCCCATGGTGATGCCTTTTGTCATCTCTGGAATTGTTTCCTCAATGGGGACCTCTTTTTTCCTAGAGCAAGCCATGAGTATACTCATAGATTCAGGTTCTTAACATTCTCATTCTTTATATTCTTCTCTACATTCTCCATGTGTATATCCACAAGCATTTATGATTTAATTGTAATCATCAGAAGCATTATTGGAAGGGTGAAGCAAAAACACATACCTGCAAAAGGAATTGGATTTGGAATCATGATATCCATTTTCTGCTGTATTGTCGTGGCGCTGGTGGAGCAAAGGAGGTTAAATGTAGCCAAGGGACATGGCCTAATCAACGTCCCTCATTGCACAATCCCAATGAGTATTTTCTGGCTGATTCCTCAGTTTCTCCTCTTAGGTGCTCCACAAGGGATTGTCCTCAGTAACAAGACCTATTTTTTGGTCAATCAAGTACCTAATTCATTGCAATCATATTTGAGAAAACTCACTGAAGCTTTCTTGGGAGTTGGATACATAACTAGTGTTCTAACTGTTAATGTTGTGGGAAAGATTAGTGATGAAAGAGGGGGTGAAAACTGGTTCGGGGAGACACTAAACAAAAGCCGACTACATAAGTACTCTTACACACTAGCAAAAATGAGTTGTGCCAATCTTTTTTTCTATGCACTTGTTGCTTCTTGGTTTAATTACAAGGAGGTACACATTCCAACGGAAGAACAAGAAGTGGTAGATGAAGAAAGGTTTCAATACCATGAAGAGTAAAACCATCAGGTGGTGATGAGAGCAAGTCCAAGCAAGTAACAAGCTATAAGTTTAATATGTGGCCAGCCATGAACTTTAAAGCATGAGTTTGTCCCATCTTCTTTGTTTGTTTTGTTATTTGTAGGTAAATAATGTAATAGTAGCAAGGTATGAAGAACTTTGCTTTTCCTTTTGAAAGATTGCCTTCTACTGTGTAACTGTTCTAAACCTCATTTAAGCTGCAGAATGAGTGAAAAAACCTTCTCAATCTCGAACCTAGGTAAACCTCGCAAGAAATCAAACTCCCTACAAGTGTTATGCAACCATTAAACCCTTCAAGGTAGAAAAACCTCTAGCACTTTACAATACAAATTTGAATGTAATTCACCCTCATCACACCCACCCATACAAAAGATAATTTACTTTTCATAAAATCCGCATATCAAACAATTTGTAACACAATAATTCCAAAAAAAAATGAGTACTCAAATCAAAACATGCAAAAGATGATAATTAAAAGTAAACAGAGAATTAAAGAAATGGAAGAGAATGCAGAATGTGCAACAAGCCGAGATGTGCAAAAATTTGGTCTACTTATACTTTACAAAAGGGAGATTTGGTGGGCCCAAGATGGCTCACCGCATATGGTTCAAATATAACCACCAAATCCTCCTTGGACCAATATAAAAAATTAACACCATTAATAGGCTTTTTGCATTTCGTCCCAAATTTTCTAGGGCTGATTTAATAATTTGAGTGATAATTTGTAAGTTTTTACAGTTTGAGCAAGTCAATCATGATTTCATTTAATGAATTTTCTTTTAGAACAAACCCAAGCACTGTTACATACGATTGTTATCCTTAAGTTTCAATATTACATAACAATCTATAGGTCCCCAAAGCAAAGCACATAAGAAATACATAGTCAAAGACCTTCAACATAAGTTCGAAATACATAAACTTCCAAAACAAGATACATGCTAAAAGAAGTTAAGCATTCAAGACTACTTCGGGAAAGAAGTCTTGTTATCTCCAAGCCTATTACCTGCAAAATGAGGTAACAAATATTGTTACATGTATTACACTAATACATACGTTGCACACGACATATAAATGCCAAAATCACATGCATTGCATCCACCATAAATATTATTTCACACGTCCTTACTTACCAACTCTGGATTATCCCTCTCAAGTCCAACAATTTGGGGGGAAGCTAGGACCACTTAAAAGGCTTGCACCTCAGTGTGTCCCACCACTCGTTTCTAAATACTTTCAAATAAGGAAACGAGTAACTCACCTGCCTCTCGGACGCTAAAAAGTTTGGTCAAGACTCGGTTTGAGGCCTTTTATCCTAGGGAGCACAATCCCTTCTTGCTTATCCTCATTATGTCCATTGTCGCCGTGAAGTCTAATTTGTTTAATTTCATCGCTTATTCGGATGATTAAAACATAATAAACATAAAATATGTTAGAGTATGTGTGGCTCATATTTGCTATGTGCACAATGGCAAGGAGGCAGATGCGGAAGCGGACGAAGTAGATTGATATATTTTATGTATGGGGGGGACGCTGATTAGTTGGTGGTGCCCGATACGGTACAGGGATATTTTATAAATACGTTCGTACTAAGGTTTTATAAATACTTATGATGTAACCCTAATTTGAATAATAGAAAAGAACGGTCGCTCGCTCCTGTGGATTTAGGCACATTGCCGAACCACGTAAATATCTGTCTTATTTTCTCTTGTTTTCTTAATTGATTGATTCCTTACTATTCACCATAATTTCTGCAAGATTACAACAACTGGTATCAGAGCCAAGTTACGATGTCTGGGATTTCTTTTGTAAAATTTGACATGATGAAGTTCGACAAAACTGAGAATTTCGGATTACGACAGAGGAGGGTGAAGGACATGTTAGTGCAGTAGGGGATGGTAAAGGCGTTATACAAAAAACAACAGACATGAATGGACGACATGGATTGGAAAGAATTGAAAGCGAAGGATGTGACAACTATTAGGCTTTGTCTGGCTGATGACGTAATATATTACGTCATGGATGAGGAATCACCAGCGAAAGTTTAGTTGTTGAAACTGAAAAATCTATATATGTCCAAGTCGTTGACGAACAAGCTCTATCTTAAGCAGAAACTATATGGTCTTAAGATGTTAGAAGGCTCGAATCTGAGCCAACACATCAACGTGTTCAATCAAATCATCAGCAATCTGAAGCGAGTTAATGTGAAGTTCAAAGACGAAGACAAGACGTTGATGTTGCTGAATTTCCTACCGGCGTCTCATACGTACGAGAATTTGGTTACAACTCTTATGTGGGGGAAAGAAACTCTCGAGTTGGAGGATGTCACAGGTGCTTTGTTAGGTTTTCATCAGCGGAAGAAAGCCAATGATGAGGCTTCAAAAGGTGAAGGACTTGTGGTAAAAGGTAAGCAGGAACGTGGACGAAGCAAATCTTGGAATGGATCGGGTAACAATAAAGCCTAGTCCAAGTCGAGGAAGAAGAAGAAGGACGTCTCTGTCTCGTGTTACAAGTGCGGGAAAAAGGGCACTTTAAACGGGACTGTCCAGAGAAAAAAAAAAGGAATTCAAAGGACAAAGAGGGTCCATCAAAGTCTACAAACGTAACGGAAGAAGAAGATTCAGAGAGCGGTGACGGTGATATGCTTTCTATTTCATCCGATTCAGATCGTCTAACAGATTCTTTGATTATGGATTCAGCATGTTTCTATCATATGACACCCAACAAAGATTGGTTTGACACCTACAGATCCATAAATTCTTGTTCTATTCTGATGGGTAACGATGCATTCTGCAAAGTTGTTGGAATAAGAAATATTAGAACTAAAATGTTTGATGGTATGGTTAGAACGTTGTGTGATGTTAGACATGTATCAGATCTAAAGAAGAATCTGATTTCATTGGACACTTTAGATTATAATAGTTATAGTTACAAATCTATAAGTGGAGTAATGAAAGTGAGTAAAAGCATGCTGACAATGATGAAGGGACAGAAAGTAGCAAGAAACATTTACAAACTGCTAGGTACCACGATTGTAGGTGGAGTTGCTACTGTAGAGTTTGAATCAGATAGCACAGTCTTGTGGCATATGCGGTTGGGTCATATGAGTGAGCGTGGGATGATAGAGCTTTATAAGAAAAATCTATTGAAGGGTGTCAAGACATGCAAGCTCAATTTTTGCAAGTATTGTGTTCTTGGAAAACAGAACAGGGTGCAGTTCAAGACAGCCACACACAAGACAGAGGGGATTCTCGACTATGTCCATACAGATGTTTGGGGACCAGTCAGCGTAGTATCATGGGGAGGATACATGTATTTCATGAGTTTCATTGACGACTACTCGCGAAAGGTTTGGGTGTACTTCCTGAGCACAAGTTCGAAGCGTTTGACAAGTTCAAGCTGTGAAAAGCTGAAGTAGAGAACCAAACAGGGAGGAAGATTAAATGCCTCAGGTCAGATAATGATACCGAGTACACAGATTCAAAGTTCCAGGAGTTGTGTGAGAAGCATGGGATTAAGAGACACTTCACAGTCCGCAAGACACCACAACAAAATGATGTAGCAGAAAGTATGAACAGAATGATAGCTGAGAAAGCTCGATGTCTCAGGTTGAATGCAAGGCTTACAAAGAATTTCTGGGCAGAGGTATTAAATATGACATGTTTCTTGATTAACAGATCACCGAGGGCAGCACTAGATGAAAAAGTATCAGAGGTGTGGACAGGCAGTGAGGTAGACTACTCTGGTTTCAAAGTGTTTAGATGTGCAGCCTATGTACATGTTTCTAGTGAGGAAAGATCGAAGTTTGATGCAAAGTCTAAATAATGTATCTTTCTGGGATATCAGAAAGGGGTGAAAGGCTTCAAACTCTGGGATCTGAAGGCAAACAAGATGATGGTCAGTAGAGATGTGGCCAAAAAACTATAGCACTAATGAGCATATGGTGCAGGTGGAGCTAGAGAAACATGGTACAGAAGAGGATGCTCAGCATGCAGAGAGTTCTATCTCAGGTGATTAGCAACATCATAGTATAGTCACAGACAGGCCCAAACACAATATCAAGCCGCCTACCAGGTATGGTTTTAAAGATTTGATCTTATGCACTTATTACGAGTAGCATGGATCCTACAACTTTTCAGGAGACAATACAAAACAAAGAGAAAAGTAGATGGATGGGTGCTATAGTGGAGGAGATGGAGTCTCTGCATAAGAACCAGACACGGGAGTTGGTGGAGCTTCCCGAGGAGAAAAAAGAGACCGGGTGCAAATAGATGTATAAGAAGAAAGAAGCAATATTAGAAAAAGAGGAAAAAAAAATTCAAGACTCGTCTAGTAGCAAAGGGTTACTCATAGAGAAAAAGGGTTGACTATGATGAGATCTTCTCCCCTGTGGTCAAACACACTTCTATCAGGACAATATTGACATTAGTAGCATATTCAGACATGCAGTTAGAGCAGATGGATGTAAAGACAGCTTTCCTTCATGGCCACTTCGAGGAACAGATTTACATGGTACAGCCAGAAGGGTTCAATCTCCCTAGAGAGGAACATTTGGTCTGTAATTTGAAGAAATCACTTTATAGACTTAAGCAGTCTTCGAGGCAGTGATACCAGCGATTTGTCTCTTACATGATCCGGATTGACTATAAAAGGTATGAGTATGATTGTTGAGTCTATGTGGAAAGCATTGATGATGATTCATTTATTTTTCTGTTATTTTATGTGAATGATATGTTGATTGCTGCCAAAAGTATAAGTAAAGTCAACAAGTTGAAGACTTTGTTAAGCAGAGAATTTGACATTAAGGATTTGTGTGCGATCAAAAAGATTATTGGGATGAAGATTCACAGGGACAGAGCTTTCAGGAGATTATGGCTATCTTAGCATAACTATGATGAGAAAGTGTTGGACAGGTTCAGCATGAGTTAGCAAAATCAGTAAGTACACCTTTGACGAATCATTTCAGATTATCTACCGCTCAGTGTCCAAAGACAGATGATGAAGTTCATGACATGTCAAAGGTCTCATATGCTAGTGCAGTGAGGTGTTTGATGTATGCTATGGTTTACACAAGACCAGATTTAGCACAAGTTGTCAGCGTGGTTAGCAAGTTTCTTTCAAATTTGGGTTGACAGTATTGGGATGCAATCAAGTGAATTTTTAGATACTTGAGAGGCACTACAGACTATGGCATCATGTTTAAGCAGAAAACAGAGTGACCCTTCAGTTGTGAGATATGTGGATGCAGACTATACAGGAGACTTGGATGACAGGAGGTCTACCACAAATTATGTGTTTACTGTGAGATGACCTATTTGTTGGAAGTCCATGGTACAGCCTATAGTTGCACTATCTACTACTGAATCAGATTATATGATAGTAGTTAAGGCTGCCAAGGAGGCTTTGTGGCTTACAGGTCTGGTCAAGGAGTTAGGTGTCCAACAAGGTAGAGTTCAGTTGCATTGTGATAGTTAGAGTGTCATTTATTTGGCAAAGAACCAGGTGTATCATGCGAGGACTAAGCACATAGATATGAAGTTTCATAAGATCAGGGAGCTGATTTCTTCTAGTGAACTATTACTTGAGAAAGTTCACACTTCTAAGAATGCAGCAGGCATTTTGACAAAACCTGTTACTACAAACAAGTTCAAGCACTGTTTAGACTTGATTAATGTCTCCAGTTACTAGATGGGAGATGCCCCAACTTATCGTCCCAGGTGGAATTCCCAGATACATGTCCACTTTTTTCTCCTAAGGAGTGAATATTTGTCAAGGTGAAAATTGTTAGAGTATGTGTGGCTCATATTTACTGTGTGCACAGCGACAAGGAAGCAGATGTCGGAGCGGACTGATTATAACGGAGTGAAGCGGATTGATATATTTTATGTATGGGTGGGGGGACATTGATTAATACGGGGTGTCAGGGGCAACACCCCCGCGGTACGGTACAAGGATATTTTATAAATATGTCCGTACTAAGGTTATACAAATACTTAAGATGTAACCCTACTTTAAATAATAAAAAAAAATGGTCGCTCGCTCCTCTAGACGTAAGCACATTGTCAAACCACGTAAATCTCTGTCTTATTTTCACTTACTTTCTTAATTGATTGATTCTTTATTATTCACCACAATTGTCACACGATCACAACAAATTACAATCTAATCATTGAATTCTATAATAATACTAAGATAATACTTAATCATTACATGTAAAGCACATAATTGTGGTAGGTATGATTCAATCACGTTGTATTATTGTCGATTATCTCACCAAGTGAATGTGCATAAAAAAATTGAGAATGCATGCATGCAATTAGAATATAAGTAAAGGACTTCGATGATTTTTTTTAAAATCACACAATCTGAATTAAGTTGTGAAATTCCTTGAGTACAATGTAAATGAGTTATAAATGTACAGAAAAATTAGAACGACAATCTAACATGAAAAACTAGCTAGCCACAACATTCCTCTATATGTGAGTTGTATGTTGTACGTCCAAAGTGAAAGGAAAAAAGGTAGAATTTCTCTCTCTCTCTCTCTCTCTCTCTCTCTCTCTCTCTCTCTCTCTCTCTGCGCTCTGAAAAGTTGAAGACTCCACCTTTTTCTTCGTTTAAGTTAAATATATACACTTGTGCAAGGCCTTGCATGCAAGGTACACAAGTCAATTTTTTTTTTTGTTTTTAATCTCAATCGATAACAAAATGAATTGTAAATTCAAATGTTTCGAATTCAAAATTTTAATAATTTTTTGTGGTCAAACCACGAAGAATTTATACCTCATGAACAAACTAGTACAGGTGTGGATAGCCTACATTGGACCGGACCAAAAAATAAATTAGTCAAAATACATGTAAATCAGCCCAAACACTCCTAACCGTGAACTCATAAAAAAAAAAAATCACTTTTTTTCATGCAAGGTACACACACTATTTTGTGCAAACCAATACGGTAAGACACCACTCTCATACAAATTGTTTGCTTTATTATATTTTCTACCCTATAAGTTTGGTTAGATTGGATCTTAACTTTTATAGTAATGGCACAAATGTCCTAATATAATGAGTTAACATATAAAATTTCCATTTCTCACATTTTGGTCCCCTAGTTCAATTCAGAACTTTATCTTATACTTAAATGGAAACATATTATCTGAAAAAACTTATGAGTCATGTCATCACCTGATTCAAGTTGAGAATATTGAGCTATCCCATGCTCCTGCTAAGCACAACAACAAAGCTTGTGTTCGTCGGTGATCTGTTGGCCATGTCCTTAACTACAATTTGGGTCAACTTGTGATACACTTTCTCCGTTATTTCCTTTCCAAATTGGTAAGAGATGATTGATTCAGTGTAGCACCTGATATTCTTGGCAAGTTGTTCTCCCTTAGCCCTTGTATCACTCTCTTGTTTGTCTACAAGATCAAGTGTAAATGTCTCTATATGTTCAACTGCGAATGATCCCTCCTTGTCAACTATATCTTGCACTTCCTCCTTTAATGGCGTGTAGTATGGTACATTGAAGGAGTCCAACTTCTCTTCATCAACCAAGCCCTATGAACGAACAAGTGGTAAGAAAAAAATATAAACCATCCATCACCGAGTTTTGAATAATTTCCTTCAAAAGATTGATTAACAACCCTAGAAACTAGGTAATTTCGTACCTTGAGGGACAAAGATAAAACATTTGCCTATTGAAAAATGTCACAATAAAACCTAGGCAACATTAGTGAGACCCCTCACATCCTAATGAAATTTGTTTGCACACAAAAATGATTGTTCCTCTTAAACACCAATGTGCTCTTTTTTCTTCGTTGGTGGATGTCCTTTGAGGGAATAGAGTCCCCCCCCCCCCAAAAAAAAAAAAAACAATTTTATTTTTTTGGGGGGGGGATAATGAATATCATCATACGTTTATAGCTTCTAAAAACAATTTTATTTTCCGAAAAAAACCTTACCAGTGAAACCATCTCAGATATGGCCTCGGCTAATATTTCCCAATGGTAGCAGCTCTCCTTGCCCCAAGGATCCGAGGCTTGTCGACCATGAAGTATCAAGACCATACGACCATTTTGAACCATCTCTTCGGCACGAGACTTCAAAAGCAAGGTGAAATCTTCTTTAAATTGAGCTAGATAGGCTGCTGCTACAACAGGAGGGCTTGTCTTTGATATATAGATCTTCCCCTTGTTCAACGGCAAGCCTTCCTTGCTTGTAAGTCCTTTGGGTACCTTTTGTTCATCGAATTACATTGAATTAATTAATCAGTACTTATGTGACATGTCAAAAACAAACAAGTCATGTTTTAATTCAGACATCCGTTGGTAACATTTTTTTTTTTTTATTGTACAATGTGTGGGTGATTACCCTTTGTATTTCTATTTTTTTTAATACACTTTACCTTCTGAAAGAAAAAAAAAACATTTTTTTTTAAGAATATGTTTCTCTAAAAACAATGAAAATTACTTTTGTGTTTTCTCCTTGTCCTTTCATGAAAATTAAATACCAAGTAACAAGCATTTCAATAAGAGTAATACTATTGAAACTTAAAAAAATTGACTTAATAGACTTAATAATCAAATTGAAGTGTAAAGATCAAAGTGATGGCGCTAGATACATTTTTGGTAGACAATGTATTTTTATTCATGTACTTTTACAACAACTTATTAACTCGAGATTTTTATTTTTTTTTTAAGCATTAAATGCTCTACCCACATGATTATCCATGGAAAAAGAGAATTGGGAGTTAAATAGGGTTAAAAAGAGAGATAGTTATTTATTTAGAAAAAATTGAACAACAATATTGATATTTTTTGAACGAGATTTTTGAATGGAGTAAAAATCTGAGTTATGTGTAGTTATTTAGAAAGTAATAAAGGTTATTATAGGTATTTCAAGAGTGAACACCAAGCTCTTTCCTCTGCTTTTATTAATATTATAAATTAAGAGAGAGCAATAATTTGTATCTACTTTGTATTTCTGTCACAAATATCTATTTACTCAAAATCTATAACCTTTTTTGTTTTTATTTTTATTTTTGTCTTTGGAACTTTCAAAATTGCTAGTCTAAATTTCACTTTTAATTTGGTATCCTTTTTTGTGGAAAAAAAATGCATTTAATAATCCATTTTCATCTTCCCTCTGGTGGTCTCTCTTCCACTCCCCATCTAAAATGAAATATTAAAACTTATTGGCTAGCAAAAAATATTCCAAATCTTACTAGGAATTATTTTAATGAAAAACGAATATAAACATTGTGATGCATAAGGATTAGGGTTAATTTCCCAAAATATGAAATTTGTCTCATTTTGGTTTTCAATATTTTAATTACATTATTCTAGTCTCTCATCAATGTATCCCAAATCAATGTGGGTGAATAGATCAGTGAGGTATACCAACTCCACCAAATATTCAATACATGAGATTTTGACACATCATTTAAAATATAAGATTTGATAAACATATTTGGACAGCACAGTTTTATCCCTGAAATATTAAATATATTTTTATTTGGTTCCTCAAGTTAATTTTTTATCATAAATTTGTCATGTAATATATAGATATGGGAAAAAAAATAATTTAGATAACTTTTGACCAAATTTCTTCCCAAATTTTTGTATAAGAGCTACATAAATTACATAGTTTTTAATCATAAGCGATCTAAAATTTGGTCAAGAGCAACCTATATTACACATTTTTTGTGTAGAACTACCCAAATTTTGGTTAAGAATTATCCAAATTGTTTTTTGTCTATATTTAGGTATCATGTGATCTTGTCCATATTTAGGTCAAATTTAGGTATCCAAATATATTCAATACTTCAAAAACTAAAATGATATAATTAAAATATTGGGATCAAAATGAGACAAATTTTATATTTTAAAACCTCCACTACAATTAACCCCAAGTATTAAGACCGTCAATTATATACACACCACTTGTACATCCGACACAGGATCCAGAGCCAAACAATGTGAGTGGGTTTGAATTTATTTTTAGATCATTTGGATAAATTTCGGGTGAACTATAGAACATATAAAGTAAATAAGTGGATACTTAAATATAATACACATTTTGCTAAACACAAATCCAACATGTTACAAACCTAAAATAGATTAAATTTGAGTTGAATAAATTTTGAATTGATTTAAAAATACGACACCACATGAAGTATTGAGATGCCTACTTTGGATTTCTTGTTTACTAATAGTATGAAGATTGATGCAAACCTGAGAGAGCCAGTGGACACTGTAGCAGGAATGAACAAGATGCAACGAGCTGCGAGGAAAGAGGCGGCCATAGAAAGAACCAGGAGCTCCCATCACAAAGCATGGAAGAAGAACATCACTCTTTTGATCTTCACCGACTCTAGACAAGTCTTTGAAGAGCGAATTGAAATCATTACCGGGAAGATCGTTCAAGTAAACCTGAAGCTCCGGCGGTTGGCAATTTAACTCCTTGCATTTCCTCTCCAAGCTTTCTTTGACAGTTAAAATGACGGAAAAAGGGTTCGGCCCGGCCGCGCAACCGAGATCGGCCACGTTGAGAACTTTTTTCCGGTGGAAATCTTCTGAGAATAGAGAATGAACCGCATTTACCAGTATAGGTTTGGTTATGGAAGTCACTATTTTCTGCACATGATCAGAAGATGAATCGATCGGTAAATAATGTTGATTAAACAGAAATTTGAAGCGAAAATTGATGTGCAAAATGATCTTGCGACAACTATAGATTGATATGATGATTTGGATGAAGTTTTCTTACAAACTAAGTTCTGTTTGTGAATGATTTTCCTTTTTGAACAGAAATAAATAACTTGATGTGTGGAACGTAGACCATAGCGTAAACGAGTTTGATTAGGGAGAAATTTGAAGCAAAATTCTTGTGCAAAATGATTTTGATTCAATTACAGATTGATATATGATGATATGGAAGAACTTTTCCACAAAAATAAGTTGATGTATGAAAAATAGAGCATACCGTAGAGCGTGCGTGTTGAGCATAGCTTGATTCTACTTCTCCTCCGTTCATGAAAAGTGCTTCCTTCACGTCCATTCTCTCTAGCTCTCTGTCTAGCAATCAGGGATTGGTGATTAGGATCGAGGGCTCGATGTCCTAATTAAATTCTACCACTTACTTACTGACTTGGCGACAGAGTTTAGCCAATCAACGAACAATTCAAATTTTTTTTACCACAGATTTTCTTATGACTATAAATAAAGGTATATTGTCCTAATAATTCTACCACGTGTTTATTGGAAAATAAATTAATTTATTTTATATTATTTTTTACTGACGATCTGATTTAAACGTGGGCGCCCCCTTAGCCACTGTCACCAGCCTCTCAGTTCATCATCTAAATCTTATCTGCAATCTAAATCTTATCTTTAATGCTGACTCACCACCCTCTCAAACCGACAGGTAAATCTTATCTTCAATGCACGCAATCCACGTTTTGGACTTTAGTCTAAGTGGTGGGTAACTTTGCACCACAATAGAGTGAAAAAGATTCCGAGCTAGTACTCACCATTCAATTATCAATCAATTTACCTGCTTTTGTCGGTGGGAGCAATTATGTCAAACCAAATCAGATCTAACTCGTTTATATCACCTTTATTTTGATGTTTTTTGTCGACACAATTTATTATAAGTGATGATAATAAATTTAAACTTAAGTTGCCTACTTAAACCCAAAAACATCCGATAAACCCGTTTTACGAACAACTCAAATGGCCCATCTGAATAGTGCCCATCATGTAATGGGAGTGGGTCGTAGCCCAAGGTTGTAGAAGCTCAGAGTTGTCCAACCCAAGATATATACCAGTTCAGTCCTAACAAGCTCAACGATATATACTTTGCTCGAAAATAAAGAACTTAGCACAAGACCACCCTCAAGTAACTTTGATCGCGCCACGTGACCAAGGGATAGAGAGATAATGTTTGACTCTAACAAACAAATATTCCCTAATAAAGGAAATATTACATACATTCCATTTCAAAGATCGTGGACGTGAAAAATGTCAAGTTGACAGACCTTGCTATATGACAAATGTGGAGGGGACCACAAATTAATCAAAAAATGAAGAATTGTAGAAATGCTAGACAGCCAGATATATAAATAGAAAACGAAGCCACTAAAAAAAGAGAGAGTTCCATAAAGCACCTAAGAAATATTTTATATAAGGTTCCTAGCCAAGACTACTGTAACTGTAACCTTCTTCTTAAAACAATATAATCCGCATGGGCAAGGGTGGACATAGTCTTAGTCTTTTGACTAAGCTAAACCACTCATATTTTGGTCTTTGCTTCATCTCCAAACTCATACCTCACATTATCTCAAAGCACATACCAAGCCCCACAGGGCTTAACCCCTTTGTCATTCTGCGACTAAGTAAAGAGATTTCGAGCACCATCAAGAACAAAGCTACAAACACCTAATTATGCATAACTATTGAATTGACAGTAGACTCTCAATTAAGTCAACAAATTTAATCCAAATAATATTTTTGAATTTATTAACCTAATCCATCATAATTATAGGATTGATTGTTTATTCCAACAAATACTGATGTTCACCATCAATTCAATAAATATAAATGAATAAGTCTTATAAATCAGATTCAAATAACATTGTTCATATTAACACTAATGTTATTGAGATATAATTTGAGACTTAATGTGTTATAATCATCAAATTGATAGTAGAGTCCGTTTAATATTGGTACCCGTTAACAATCCAGTGTCCACTAAATTATGTCCTAATTATATTGCTCAAATAACAATTGAGTTTATTGTGAACTTGATGAAACCTATTTATTAATTCAACAATTATAATTGATTTATTTTTATCTCAAAGATTATAATTGATATGATTTTTAGATTAACTACAATAACATTTTCCCCAGTGGTTAATGAAGTGGCTCTTAAATTGCTTCAAACCAATTAAGCAAGCTTTCTGTTTTGACTACTCAATTAAGTTTGAATTTTATTATGTACTCAGATGAAGATTGAATCATATTACATAGAAAAATGTTATTTGTATTTATTTGAGAACTTAATCAATTATAATTGTGCGATTAAAAATTAACTTAATCTGACATTGAAGCTCATAGCTAATTTAATAACTGCATTGAATTAAATCTCTAAATTAGTTCCCCAAACATAAGATAAAAGTTTAAGTTTCATTATCAATACTCGTTGCGCCTTACAAATAAATCATTAGTATGCTTGTTAACGATAAGATTTCGATAAATTATTAATCCATTTGAATCTGATTTTAAAACTTAATATGTATTCACTCTTATTATTCAACGAACCTTAGTTTTAAAGTTCATATCGAATCCTTTTAAAAAAATTATTTTCATCTAAATAATTAAATTAGAGGTGAATTTTAAAACATTACATTTAATTTTAACACAATATCGTTAAATAATAACTCAATTTTAATTAATATAAATGTATATATGTGTTTATGTAATCATATCGGATCACAATCGAATCCAAATTTTCTATATCCATATCTGTAAAGATTTGCCTCTTATTGTTTTTTGGCCAACTTTTAAATGGGGGCAAATCCTAAATAATTTTCAAATTTTCATATGAAGCCCAAAATAGTTTAAAATTGAAGTTGGGGCAATTGCCCCCACTATTCCAACCTTAAATATGTCAGTGTTTGACTTAATTTTTTACTCAAATTTGAGTAAAAAATTTGATTTCATTCAAAATACTGTAATGGAGTATTCAATGTTAAACGATGACAAACTCAAATTTAAAGGTTGATAAATTTGACCAATAAATTTTTAAAAGAGAGTAAAATTTGAATAAAGGACTGTGAATTGTTTCTACCCTGTTTTAACTCAAATTTTTGAGTTTGGCTGAAGATTGAAAATGTCCTTGACAACTAAAAAAAAATTGGTGTTTTCGGTGGCGAGTCCATTTTACAAGAAAATCAAGTCATGATGTCCAAGCCTTATTTTATTTGGTTTTAAAGGACAAATTGGAAATCAAACATAAAAATGTCATTCTACTCTGAGGTGCTTCTTCAGTCTAGTGACATTGGACAGTGGCAAAAGATAGCGAGACTAGACAGCCTATGTATCTCCTATATAATGCATTAAAGAAGATGATGTGTAGAATGCACTCTCAAGCATCACCCGAACACAGCTCAACTTAGCAGAAAAGTTGAACACGCTACTCAGATTCTATAGGTGATATCTACCATCTCTTTTCAAGAGGAAAATGTATGGCCAAGGTGATTTTTCTTTTAAAATGTGGTCAATTTTATTAAGTTATGCCCTTATATGAAAACTATGCTAATTTTTTTGGTCCTAGAGAAATTGTTGTAGTGTATTCAAGATTTTTTGCATTAGTTCGTTGTCGTTCTCCATCCAAATTGTTTTGTGTTGGGTTAAATGCTATGAAGAAACCATGTAAAATCTTTCACAATTTGATATCTCGAGAGGGCCTTTGTTTAATTTTTCTTTGGAATTATGGGAATGCCAGTTCGCTCAGAGTAAAGAGATTAGATTTAAGTTCTCTTGTGTAACTCACACGATAAGATTAAGAAGGCAAATTATTGAAAACCAAAAAGAATGGAATGTTGTTTCGCTCTTTTTTGATGTGCTACCCCCTACGTCCCCTTTGGTTTCCTTGTAGTTTTCTAGGGAACAGGGATCAAAATCCAGTAATGCTATAGGCAGTATTTGATACACAAGGTGTATGGAATGCATGGTTACCAAAATTATGATATGGATTTTAAGATCTTATATGATGGGTTACAAGTTAATCGATTTGGGTCTACATGGGAATGTAGGATTCGGATCTGAATTGTGATCTTACTGATTCAAGTTGTTAGGTTTGCTTCTTAGGTGCATTTATTTGCCAAGCAACCTAGTTTATGTTTTTCGTTTACAAAAGAGTCTTTTTATTCATTCATCTCTCTTTGAAAAGTTTAAAGCAACGGTTAGATTTAATTTTCTCTCTTGGCAAGTGATTATAGCCAAATAGTCTGATATTTTTATTCAACAACGTTTCAACTTTCAGTCTCTCTCTCTTTGAAACTTAAGATCAAAATACTTCAATCCTCATATTACTCTTTGCAAAATTCTACATGATTAACAACAATTCACCTTTGATTTTAAACCTTCTTTAGTATTCAAGTTGTAGTTTATCAAATTTCAAGCATATTTTAAGTTCTATGTTTTGACCATTCCAAAAAAAAAACTATGTCTGTCATAGCATTTCTATTAGTATATATACTAGGTTTATCTAGTTTTATTTTTGGGAATTCTATATTGCTACATATATTTTTTATCTCATTTTTTTAATTAATAGGATTTTATGATTCTTTATTCGATTTTATAACTTCCTCAATCGATCCAATATAATATTTCAATTTTAAAAACGTTGATGAAATATAACCGTGATTAATGTGTGTGATTCGTTACTAGATACAAATAGAGAGACAAGGTGAATACATATTGAGATCACAAAATCTATAAGCATATTCTTTGTTTGGATGACAACTGATTATGACAATGAATCCATTATATTCAATGTATTGATAGCCCCACTCCAACAGGCGGGGATGGTTTGCCTTGGAAAAGACTAGGCAAAACTCTTTGCATAATCCTTTTTCCCTCCTTTTATAATGGCAACTTGAAATACAAAAGGTAACCCCAAATGCAATGTTCCATTTTGTGCATGTGGGTCCATACTTTAAGGTTTTTTTTAAAAAAATATAAAAAATAAAAATCAGCAATTGATTAAGTTATTTCTAAAAAGAAGTAAAAAAAAAAAAAAAAAGTTAGATATATGCAATTCAGTGCATGAGTATTTATACTTTTGCGAGTTTTGAATTGGATTAGATTTATCCAGTTTTGTATCCAAATAAATTGTTTGGATGACTCGAACTCTTAACTTTTAAGTCCAAATGGAATAAAATTATCGTTATGCTAGGAATCTCTCTCTCAACGAACAATTTTTTAATGAGTTAGACAAAAATCCATTTTTCTCCATAAATTGTGCAACTACACAGGTGGGATAATTGAGGATCAACAGTTGGCTCAATAGCCACTGCAACTCTTTTGGGTTTGATCATGAGAGATTTATCTCTCTTAAATTCTGTAGTTTTGACATGAATAGTTTACTTTTAACTAGATCGAAGATAGAATTAGTCGAGGTGCATATAAATTAATCTAAACAGCTATTGAATCCAAAAAAAATGGCCATCGTAACCTACAATTAGAATGTTAAATCGTGAGTTTGAACCTTCCTGCCACCTCTCTCAAAAAGATCAAATTAGTGACAAAACAAAAACGTGGAATGATTATAGTAAGTGATAATAAAACAAGAATTAAACATTTCATTAAAAAATTAAATTCAAAATCTAAAAAACATAACACAAACAAAACATCCCTCCATTTCTCCCAATCACCGACTATAACTGCCACAGGGTCCACAAACCTGTCACACTCAAACCATGAACAAATCAATAACCCGACACGTAATACATGAACTCTGAATGCAACTCCAAACCCGCCATAGTCTCGGGTGCCAAGACCACCTCCAAATCAACGTCCCACCACCTTCCCTCCCCGGAAACACTGAAATCTTACCGTCAAACTTATTAGCCCGCCCGCTTCGAACTGCTACAGGTCTACCCCACTCGAAATTATTGTCGTACATTGGAAATCTCAGCGAACTTCCCCTCGTGATCATCGCCCCGTCGAAGTTTCCCAACGGGAATCACCATGGGTCCCACTTCAATCATCTATGCATCGCCTCACCGTAGCGTTAACGTGTGCCGTCACGTTCTTGTTCAACTGCTCGACGCACCATCGGAGATCACGTGACAAAACATCGCCGACGGATGCATACGTCGAAATGCTCTGAATTGCGTTTTCGAAATAGTACGGATCGAGCTTTGGTTCAAGCCGGTGACAGCAATTCACCGCCATTCTGAAGGTCGTCATTTTGGATGATGGTAGTTTCCGAGAACATGTCACCGCTAGCCACGGCAGAGCACACCATGACTGAAAAGATGAGATCTCTACCGTTGGATTGGCATAATCCGTTTCAGTGTTCAAAATAGCATTTCGTAGCCATTTCAACGGCGTTTCGTAGCCATTTCAACAATGTTATCTTCTCGTCGACTACCTTAAAAGGATCGTTGCTTTGATTCCCCATCAATTCGACTCTATCAATTGCTCCGTTACGACTAGAGATCAATTTTTGATCATTTATTTTTTATTTCAGTTTTAGAATCGATTCTCTGTTGAAACTAAAAATTCTCTCTATCAACAAAGCATCGATTGAGAAAGTGACCTTGGGTCCACACTCAGGGACTTTCAGATACGTCGGCGAGATCAACACCAATTCACGGCGGAAGTCTGGTACCCTCAAAATCTTCTTCGCACCAGTTCCACAAACCTTCGTGAAAGTATTGAAAAAGCTCCAAAACGACATGCCATCAATAATGGCGTGATTGAGTGAACAGCCAATGAAAACGCTGTTAGCGAGCTCAGTCACTTGCACAGCCAATATAGGTTTGAAATAGCCGTCGTAACTCACTGTTCTATCAAAAACGAAGAACTCTTTGACATAGTTAGGGACATCAATTGGGGACAAACTTTTGTGAACATTAATGTGAATTGCACTGGCGTGAATGAAGTTAACTCCGCCGTCATTACATGTAATATAAACATAATCGGAAGGGTCAGTGTTAAGACATCCGGTGAGTGGTGGGAAGTGAGAGAAAGTCTGGGAGAGACCACATTGGAGGAGAGAGAAGAGACAGTCAATTGGAATCGGAGGGCGAGCGAAGAGACCTCCCTTTTGAATGTAGTGACAGAAGAGCATCGAAAGATCAGAGACGGAGAGTTTGACGTCAGAGTGTATCGATTTTTGGTCTGGGAAGATGGTGCATTTAGAGATGAGAGTTAGAGATTGTGAAAAAGCCATGGTTGAAGAAGGAATAGGCATGTATTGAGTTTTGCAATGTCTGAGTCTTTAAGGCAATCTTGCCTCACTTCGAATGGGGTGGAATTCTTGTGAAGTGAGGAGTGGGAGAGAGTGTAGAGGTGGGAGTGGGTTATATAGGGAGCGGTTGGAGTGGTTTGGAGGGTTGGGTTCATGCACTTGCTGAGGTAGTTGTTGCTGTTTGTTGATTCTCTTTTAGTTGGCTCTTTCTTTTCTTTTCTTTTTTTAACGTGCTATTCGAGCCAATTTACACCTAATTCAAATAATTTCTTTCTGGATTTAAGTTAACATACGTTCAATTCGACTAACCCCTTCATCAGTCCGATTAAGAAGATATTTATAAGGAATAAATTTTTTATAGTTTAATCCTAACGAATAATAAAAATTCAAACCCATAACGTCTATACTCATAACTCATCCATATTATCATATGAATTACCCTTAGTGTTAATTGACTTTTTCTTTGTCTTCTTAATTTAGCGCTTATCACTTAACCAATTACATAAAAATTATTAAATGGAAAAATATAATTTAATTAAAACTAAATAGTAGGGAATAGTTAGGATGGAGAGTGGAGGGAATTGATAAGTGGCATGTGATAGAATGTACTTAAAAGAAATCTTTGATTTCCAAGATATTTATTTAAAAAAAAAATTTGGGTTTTTATGGGTGAATCACAACTCAGTACAATAAAACGTAGAATAAAATCCCAAGTTTGAAATGCGACGTGCAATGCATGCAACGATGCTAGAGAATGAGAGACATTTGTTTTTTATTTTTTTGGGTATAAAAATAGTTACATATATTGTTCTTTAATGTCACTATACATATATGTCAGGAGGATTGTTCTTTAACGTTACACAACTATCTGTAGGAGACCTCATCACATCAGCGTTGCTACCAAAATTAAAGTCTCATCACGTACTCTAGATGTTTAAGAGTAAGTTTAACCCCCCCCACCGAACTATCGTAGTTATAGACAAGGGCGGAGCCAGAAAAAAAAATTTAGGGTAGGCACACTAGCACGTTTTAATTTTTTTTAATAGACCGTAAAATTTTATAAATTTATATTTATTAAAATTATATTTAATAATTTTTAAAGATAAAAAATTAAAAATCGATATACATAACATGAACAAAAAAATAATAATTAAAACTTCTTATTGAGACTACAACTAATTATTATTACTTATAATTGATCCTGATATGTTTTTATCGTTTAAAAGAGTTACAAATTAATTTTATCAACAATATTTTTTTATATATAAAATCGCAATAACAATCTTTCATTTATAATCCTATAGTTTACTATATACTGACACACATTTTTATACAATAACAAAATAACCCTACATTTTAAAAAAATTATAAAATAATATCAATATATTCAAAAGATATTCGAACATGTCTAAAAGTTAACAATTATATTAGTTGTACTTAACTTGAGGTTTAATTGATGGAGTCATAATCATTTGTGACTATTAGATAGATAGTAGAGTTTATTAAATATTAAGACTCACTATTATATTTAATATCGTAATGTATTAGGTCCTTAAATTAGGTTTCAATAATATTGTTCAAAAAGTTAACAATTATTTAGGTAGAGATATATTCAAATTATTATCACTAGAACATAATATTATGGGTGAACACAATTAAATGTCTAAATTTTATTTCAAAAAATACATGCTTATTATAAAGCAAAAAAAACAATTGAGGGGGCCAAAAGTTTTGTTTTTAATGTTGAGCCAAAAGTTTTGTTTTCTTAATAGGTTTGAGTGGATTGTGATATGCCAAAAATTTAATTTTTTAATAAGTTTGAGTAAATAGGGGTGGGCTCAAATTTCTTTGTTTCAAATGGGCTTAATTTTTTAATTCTTTTGGGTAAATAATGTGAGAAACATTTTTTTCTTGGATTTTAGGTGGGCTCAAATAATATGTTATACAAATATATAATATACATACCTAACTAATAAAAAGAAAAAAGTTTGAGGGGGGGGGGGGGGGCAA